TGTGAAGCTCAGGAATCTTTGGATCTCCTGGCTCACTTGATGAGGAGAGTTCCCAGGTGGTTATCTTTTCTAGATGGAATGTCCACGTGGGGAAAGACTGCGTGTGCCTTTTGTAGGGGAGAATTTACATGTCTACTATGTTACTTGGGGAGAGAGAGCAGAGAAATATACATTCTTAAAATTTTGGCCAGCCATATCTGTGTGCAAACTAAACAGAACCTCTGTTAGAAACAGAAGTTAAACCATAGCCATTTTGAACTTTGCTCAGCAAGTCAAAATGTTAACACCCATACCTGGGTGGATTTTTCAGTGATGCTGAATTTAGAAACAATTTTACATGATGACATTTGACCTAGGCAGGAAATGGCAAAAGGGCTGTGTGACCTTCAGTTGCCTGTTGAAGATCCCCAGATTGAATTAACAATTTCAGAACCAAGAGTCCTAGGGAAAGAGGGCTAAAACTGTCATGGGTTCTTACTTAGAACTGTGCTCCTTTCCTGTGACTCAATTTCCCTTTCTCTGTTTCAGAAACTCTTGGGGCGGAAGATAAATCCAGTCCTCCGGATGTTTGGTCAGTCCATATCAGGGGGAGTTGACATGGATGGAAATGGCTATCCCGGTAAGCTGCTTCGCTTTCCAACATTGGCCATTAACAGAGATAAGGCATGAAGTAGAACAATTTCCAGTCTGGTAAACCGTGGTCACAATCTACTTGGGGTTAGGAAACTTCACACAATAGAATGAGATGTTTTGCCTGCTGTTTGATTTTAAAGTGGAAGTACCGAAGTTTACTTGGGGGATTTAACATGATCTATTCTGAAAGGTTTGAGCATTGGGAAGATGGAGTTTTTATTTTTAAAGATTTAGTTTTATTTATTTGTGCTTGCAAGAACTGGGGTGTAGGCAAAGGTGTGACGAGTGAAAGGGTGGAGTTTTTACAGACTTCCATGATCTTTAGTCTTTTTAATGAAGGAAAGTACTGTCTGTGTTAAAAATGGTAAAGAATGGAACCTCGTGTTGTTCTTGACATTTGACCATTTACTTGTGAGAGGGAAAAAGGAGCCAAGCAATATCTTTCCTACCTCCAAACCCAAAATTACTGAGAGAAAAATTTGGAAACTTAAAACAAAAAACAAAATGTGTCCTATCTCTGACAGACAAAGTAGATGCTGGCCATTCAAGACTGGCTAAACTGTCTCTAGGGTTAATCAATGCCCTGTTGTGGTTGAAACTAGTTGAATACAAACCCTGACCCCAAGTGATACCTGTTTTAGGTACAACTGATGGAGCACTAGAATAGTGTTTAGTGTTTGAAGGGGCTTGAGGTGAGGTGAGGAGAGGAAACATTGATAAAAAATTTGAAAAAAAATCCAAAATCATCATGAAATTCAGAAAAAATCCCCCAGATTCTATAGTTCATCTTGTTTTTGAGAAAGTATTTCTTTCCACTTAACATGCCTCCCAGAAAGCTCTCAGAAAACTAATGTAGTTTTGTACAAGGCACCAAATTTTGTAAATTTTTACAGGCAAGAGTTTTGAGCTTCCCTTGTAACATCACAAACCCAGGAGAAGAAGTAAGAATAGAAAGGGGCCAATGTTGAGGTTTCTGTCCCAAGGTAGACTCGATGGGTCTGTTTAAGTTTGAGAGAACAGGAGAACAGTTTCCCTTGTCCTGGGCAATCGCTAAGTAATACCTTACACTGGGTTAGGACTTTAATATATGCAAAGTGCTTCCACAAGCATGTGCACGTAGGTGGAGATGGGGGTGCCTCCCCCACTTTATAGACAAGACTCCCAGGTCTCAGAGAACTGAAGGGGCTGGCCAGAGACTGCACTTCCAGCTGCTTCTCTGAATGCACAGCAGGCATGTGTGTCCACACTTGATGATGGAGCTCAAGTTACTTGAATTTTTCATAAAAGAAATGGAAAATTCATTAAGTTCTTTTATTTTTGAATATCCAGTCAACTCAAAAAGACAACTAGAAAGTAACAAAATTAATAGGCACACCCAAATGAAGTACTGTGATCCAAAGTGCTAATTGGGCCTCAGATAGATGCAGGAATGCAGACTTTTGCACTCAGATGCTTGTTCTGAGGGATAGTAACAGGAACCTCCAGACTTAGGGGCGTATAGTTAGTCATAAATTAAGCCATTTCAGAATAAACATTGCAGTTAACACTTGTGTACTGGTTTATGATTTTTCTAACTCAAATATATGATTTAATGTATTTAATAATTATTTAAATGTTTTAAATCTCTAAGATTTGACAGATCTTCAATAAATATTGTGTTTAATAATTACTTAGTAGGTATTTTCTGATTCAAGCAGTATGAAGTATTTTTGGTTTTGAAGAAGATGCTAGGGATAATTATCTGGAGGGTGCAGAGATACCCTTTGAGAGTCTGAGGTCATGTAGAGATCACAGGTCCTACAGAACCTCTACCTTGCTGGCATCCAAAAGAAATATAGTGTACATCATGTAGTTCATTAAAAGTATTCCAGTAATCACATGAAAATACAAAAAGAAACAAATGAGATTGGTTTTTACATTTTTTTTCAATGAATACTCAATATAAAAGTCATTAATGAGCTAGTTGATAGTATTTTTGCAACTGTGTCTTTGAAGTCTGGCTTGCCCATGAAATGCACACTCACAGTGCATCTTAGTGCAGCCATGGTTCAGGTCCCAGTCACCACTGCTGGTGATTGGCCACCATATGGGACAAGATGGCTCTAATTCTTACAAAATCATGACATAGCCCAGGGGATGGCTGCCCCGGGGAGAGGGTGAGATGTGAGGGATCCTTCATTGCTGTGGAGCCCAGGTGCTGCAGGGGAGCGCAAGTCTCTGAATCTGTAAACTTCTGGTTTTCAGATGTAACTATTGGAGCCTTCATGTCTGACAGCGTGGTTCTTCTAAGGTGAGATGCTTCTCTTCTCTCCCTCCTTGGATTGTATTCATCATGGGTAGGGATGGGATCTGTCCTAGGGGTACATAGGAGTCCTTCACCCTGGTCTACTGTCCCCGACCTGCTTCCGTGCAGATGGAGGCACTTAGTAAGAATTTCTTTTCCCCTTCATTTTTTTATTTTTAAGATTTTTTTTTTAATTTACTCATACAGAACTGGGGTACAGGCCAGAGGTGCAAGGGTGGTAAGAGGATTCACCAGAGACAGAGTAGGAGCAGAACAGGCAGATTGATGAAGTACACTGCTGAGGGGAGCAGCGGGCGGTTCAGGAGAGGTCTGCGGCACCATGTGGTCACCT